ACTTGAATTTACTCATTAAAAAAAAAAAAAAACCTATTTGGCTCCGCAACTCTTTTTTTCTTTTTTTTTTAATACGTATTTGGAATTGATTTTGTACTTCCAATTTTTTTTGGAAATTTTCCGAAAAGGCTAATTCTGATCCGATTTTTCAGACTTTCACCCTAGTCTTACACCAATCCCTTACAATGTGACTTTTCATGGTTTTTTTTTTTTTGAATTTCAGGGAATATACCTTACACAATTTCAAATATTTTCTTTTATTTTTCACCGATTGAACATAAGGTATAATAGACTGTACACATTCTCTGTTAAAAAACTCAATCAACAGTCAATCAGATGAAAATTTTGATTATTGCGGATAGGTGGAGGTATTTTTCGTTATTTAGCCTAAGTTCAAGGGGTTTTTCGTAATTTACCTAATTAGTTATTCATCTCAGAAATTGTGTTATCGAAAGTGTTAATCTTGACCATAATTTTAGAATACCTAGGGAGTTCATAGAAGCAAAATATATAAATAACATAGGGAGATGTAGTGAATCAAAATAATTCATATATCTGGAATACAGTCAAATACTCAAAATATCACAATTAATACTATTTTAAATAATAAACATTACTATAAAACTCATCATACACAAAGGCTAGCTAGTACAAAACGATAATATTTATTTTTGTAAGAAACGAGAAAAAAAATATTAAAAAAAATTAGAAAAAAGTTAATAAGTAAAGTAAACTCATACTTCAATATTATTTCTTTCTGGAATAACTTAAATAATCATTATTCAATATTTATTTATGTTCTTTGGCATGTTATAGTACGTATTACATAGTCCATACATATATAATATTGAAACACGTTGTTCTTTATACAAAAGTGTTTTTAACTCTCTTACTTTCAAACTAAATTTTAGTTATGACTTAGTGGGCTAAGTAGTGCTTAGTGGGCTTAATTGTGGTTTTATTCTAACTTCCTAAACTAACCCACTAACCCACTTTCTTGAGTGCCCTTGTGGTTGGTTTTCTTGCAGATCATGGGCTGAGGAGTGGAAGCTTGGCAAGTCTATAAATACCAAACTCAAGACTCAAGAATTGCACAGATTTCGAAAAACAAAAAGAGTGCTGAAGTTTTAATCTCGAGAGTTTTAGTGTGTTTCTAGGATCTGTTGTACGTACTCCTTATGAGTACATTCTTTGAAATCTAGAATTTTTAATATTTTCCTTTTAGTATCTAGATTTGATTGTAAAAATGATCATGAGAATGAAAGAAGTTTTCGCACCTCTTCCATTTGTATTCCTGGAATACTGATTTGAATATATTCTTTTTCGTCCTGTAAAGGGCAAGTTCACAAGTATTTACTTGTGAACATTTTTTAATTCTGAGTATTGTTCTTTTTATTTCCGCTGCATGTTTGTTCAAGTGTCATAATACTTAAGACAACACCTCTGTATTAAACGAATTCGGGACCATAAATTCTTTCAATTGGCATCAAGAGTCAACACTTGACATATACTAAGTGTTTGTTCCTATTTTCTGTTTTTCAGAAACGAATTCGTGATGGATACTCAGATGACTGCTTCTATGCGACCTCCTGTACTCGACGGCACAAACTACACCTACTGGAAAGTCAAGATGAGGGCGTACATCAAAGCCATTGATGAGAGAGCCTGGAGATCTATTCTCACTGGATGGAAACCACCAACTATCACAGATGCGGATGGGGATGTGTTTCCAACACCAGAATTACGGTGGACACCTGACGATCTATCAAATGCTAACCAAAACTCAAAGGCGTTAAATGCGATTTTTAATTCAGTAGATTTAACAATGTTTAAATTGATCTCAGTGTGCACCTCTGTGAAGGATGCTTGGGAAGTTCTTTTGCTACATTGTGAGGGATCAGACAGTGTCAGAAGAACTAAGCTCAGACTACTCTCTACCAAATTTGAGAGACTGAGAATGAAGGAAACTGAAACAATTTCTCAGTACAATGAGAAATTGATTGATTTAGCTAATGAATTTCAATCCTTAGGTGGTCCCTTGAGCAACGAGACACTGGTGAATAAGGTATTGAGAACTCTTCCAGAAAGGTTCAGCATGACGGTTACTGCTATTGAAGAAGCCAAAGACACATCGTCTCTACGGATGGATGAGTTAATTGGTAGCCTAAAGTCTAGAGAAATGAACTTTGAAGATCAGAGAAAGGAGAAAGGAAATGCTATCTCAAATGCACTCCAGGCAGAATTGGAGAAGGAAGATGTTGCTCCGGAATATGATGATGATGCAGAGGAATGTCTCAACAATGTTGCATTCCAAATTCAGAAATTCAATAGGGCATACAGGCGAAGTGGAATCAAGCCCAGACAATTATTTCCAGATGGCTCTCCGCAAAATCGACAAACTCAGCCCCGGAACAGATTTACTCCACAAAGAACATTTCCTCAAACATCTTCTCAGAACACTTTAAAAAATTCTTCATTTGTTCGTTCAAATTCTGAACCACCTAACTTAGATCACATTAAATGCAGGGCTTGTTCAGGATTTGGACATTATGCTAATGAATGTGCAAATACCTTGAGAAGAAGATGAATGAGTTTGATTTGTGCTGTCAGTGATGAGGAGGAAGAGCAACCTGAACAGACAGAGGAAGAGCAATCCACTAAACAAGCTCTCTCTGTCAGATATATCACTGGAAATGCTTCTGAAACAGAATCACAAGGAGTTTCTCTGGATGCTGCAACACTTTCTGAAACACTTTCAGTAACTGAAATTTCTGAGTTAAATACTGATCATTATACATGTTTAAACTATATTTCTTTAAATGCAGCAGAATCCAGTAATGAAGCAGTTAGTAATGAGGAAGAAATGTGTAAGAAACTGGTTCTTGACCTGGAGAAGAAGACTCAAGCTCTAGATGCAGCCAACAAGGAAAACTCCTCCCTTAAAGAAACAATCACACATTTGGAGGTTGGAATCACCAAGAAGGATCTTGAACTGGCAAAGGTGAAAGATGAACTCAAAAAGGCAACTCTAGCAATCAAGAGGATGAATACTGGCACAACTAAACTTGAAGAGATTGTGTCAATGGAAAAGCACTACAAACATGAAGGGCTAGGGTTCAAAAAACAAATGAAGCCAGTAAAGAAGAAAGAAATTGTCTTTGTAAAAGAAAATGGTGCAAACAGAAAGGATTGCAGGAAGTCCACAGTCACCACTCCAGATTCCAGAATAAGAGGTTATGTTTGTCATTACTGTTTCTCACCAGGACACATTCGTCCATTTTGTGAAAAACTTAGTAGTGACAAAATGTTGTATAAAATAAGCCACATCACTCCAATGAACACTTCAAAGAAAAAGGTAGAATCTACCAAAAAGGAGTGTAAAATATGCACTCCCAAAGGTAAACTCTTGTGCAAGGCAGTATACACCTCTTTAAATGCTAACATTTCAGGTTCATGGTACTTTGATAGTGGATGCTCTAGGCACATGACTGGAACAAAGGAATTTCTATCAAACTACCACACACTTAATGGAGGACGTGTAACCTATGAAGGAGGAACTAAAGGCAAAGTGGTTGGACGTGGAACACTCAGTATTGAGGGACTTCCAAAACTGTCAAATGTCCTACATGTTGAAGGATTGGGGTCAAACCTCATAAGTATCAGTCAATTGTGTGATGATGATCTACGTGTAGAATTTGATAAATACTGTTGTTCTGTGTTTGATAATCAAAATCATTGTGTACTGACAGGTTCCAGATCAATGGATAATTGCTATCAAACAGGTGACACCATCTCATGCAAGAGCTCAAGAGTAAGTGAAGTAGAGCTGTGGCACCAAAAACTAGGACACACAAACTTCAAAAATCTGAAGCTACTCAACAAGTACAATGCCATAAGAGGAGTACCAGATCTCAAGATCAAGGATATTCCTATATGTGGAATGTGCCAGAAGGGAAAGCAAACCAGAGTACCACACAAAATGTTGCAACACGTTGGTACCACTATTTGTTTTGAACTTGTACATATGGATCTGATGGGTCCTATAGAGGTAGAAAGTCTAGGTGGTAAAAAATATGTCTTTGTATGTGTTGATGATTTTTCAAGATATACTTGGGTGTATTTTTTAAGAGAAAAATCAGACACTTTTGAAGTTTTCAAAAATTTGTACAGGTTTGTTAGAACTCAATTTCAAGTTTCTGTTCGTAGAATAAGATCTGATCATGGAAAGGAATTTGAAAATGCCTTATTTCTTGCTTTTTGTAATAAAAAGGGTATAAAGCATGAATTTTCTGCTCCAAAAACTCCTCAGCAAAATGGCATTGCTGAAAGAAAAAACAGAACCATCCAGGAAATGGCTAGGGTGATGATGAGTGCAAAAAATCTGTCTAAAAGGTTTTGGGCTGAGGCTGTCAACACAGCCTGTCACATCTCAAATCGTGTGTATCTAAGATTAGGATCTATGATGACTTCATATGAAATTCTTTATGGTAAGAAACCTAATCTAGAATACATGCATGTGTTTGGATGTGTCTGCTATGTTCTAAATGATAGAGATCATCTAGCTAAATTTGATTCAAAAAGTGATTTGAGTTTGTTTATGGGATACTCTAATAACAGTCATGCTTATAGAGTATACAATCTAAGAACTCGAACCATTATTGATTCTGTAAATGTGGCATTTGATGACTTTGCTGATCTCCGCAGTAAAACAGCTGAAGA